ACTTCCAGAAGAGTCTTACCATTTTGTGGTTAGTTTAGAGGATAAGAATAGACAGAAAAATAACGCTTAATAAAAGAGTCTTTGTCCTATTGGTGTTACTGCCGCTGTCTTCATCGTCGTTATGAGGCTTTCACAGCCTTCTAAACGTTGTTACCCCAGTCATGTATATCACGGGAATAGCCACAAGGAAATGCAGGCACTAGACATCACGCAGCAGCAGCAGCGGAGATTTAGAGGGCAGCTACAATGAGTAGCGAACAGCTTTCATGACTCAAAGCGCTACCAGGCTTCAGCTTTCCCTGTTTGGTGGTTAAGCTCTGGCTGCTGTTGGGCTGCCAACGCTTCTGCCCACGTATTGCGTGTTTATATACTTATGAAAAAGGGTTAACGGATCACGATAGCAAAAAAAGAGCAGAGTAGACAGTGAATACTGGGTCGAAACAGACGCTTCTCATGCTGGCATGTTCATGTTTGCTATAGGTCGCGTTTGTGGCCGTACTGATGCCAATGAAAATAGTAGTAAAACACGGGATAAGCACGCTCAAACGACGCGCTAGGTACTTGGGGCTCGTAACATATATGAAGGAGCGGGTTGCATGCGTATAGCCATAGAGAGAAAAGTTTTAGCGAGTTTGCATTGGTCTCGTTTCGTCAACAGAATCGCTTGCCCCTCAGGACGATATTGCATGATCTTTTTACCGCCTTCATCCGGCAGGCACGTAAGTATTGGGGTTGTTTAAAGGTGGTTTATCATATCTCTTATTGTAGGTGTCCCATATAATGTAATTTTCTTAAATTATCTCGCGCCATATTCGTTGAATCAACTACCTGAAAGGCATGCAGGACAAAGGATTGGGGCAAAAAAAGATTTTAATCATTTGTACAAACCTTATTCACTTTGATACCGCGGACAAGATAATTGGACCACTCAAACTAATATCGGTGACGAAAATAGGTAAAAAAAAAAAACAACGTAAAGCTTTCTATCAACTTATGACGATTGAGACATTGCCAAAGCTGTATAAAAATTATGGCAGCGAGGATAGGATATTTGTTTATCTATTTGTAGAAGCTATTAGTTCCGTTACCTGCCTTACAGAACTTTAAGAGGTCTTGTTTGCTCAAAAATATACACGACGTTTATTACAACAGTGTCATCTTTGTTATGTACAAACATCTATTTTGTCTAGGTTAGGTAAACAGCTTTAAAAATATACCTTCTTTGTTCGCCCGCCCAAGGACTGACCTATCTGACTATGAATTGTACGTTTAGGCATTTGCTGCTGCTTGAAAGTTAGTCAGGCTTGTTTGCTTGCCCTCCTGCTGTGCTTTAACTTCTTTATAACTCGACTTTTTATGAGGGTCGCTCGGAAACACATCATGAACAGCTTCAGGGGTCGCTCAGTTGGTCTCTCGGTTAGTTGGTTGATGGTAAGTCCTCGACACTCACCGCTGCCCATTTTCCTCAACTCCGAACCACCCACTATCCTATTCCTATAATCAAAGTGATGCACGGTAAACGGCCCAGGTCTATCGCCCTACTGCCCCCTACGTTCTGTTTCCTGCTACAACTGCATCACCATCACCACCCCGCCACAACCATCCCCTCAAAGCCCTTAATTCTCTAATTAGTGGTTGGCCACAAACAGGCTCAGGCTCCACTCGTCGGTCCGTGCGTTTGGACGAGTAGGCATAGACGAAGAAGAAGACGATATAGACTACTTCTACTACTATCACTGGTACGATCACCGTTGCTTTTTCTCCATGTATCGCATTCTAACACACACCGACACTACATCTCAGCTCCGTTTCTTCGCTCTGTACAACAATTACTATCGCTGCATTGCTGCTGTTGGCGTTCTATTACTGCCCTGACCCTTAGTTTGTCAGAGCTTTCTATGGCTGCGAGATTGGCTAGTAGCTGGGGTTCGCCTGATCAAATCACACAAGGCAAAAAAGCCTGTTCTTTCTACAGGGATAGCGAGAATCAAGCAGTTGCTGCCGATGTGGAAGGTAAATGTAGAGCGTTTAGGTGATCGTATGCTGTAAAAGAGATGAACAATCCATTAGTCGTCGGTGCTGCCGCGTCTATTGCGGGCCACAACTACCTCGCCACTGTTTCTAACACCACAGCGCGTCGTATAGGGCTTGGTGCTCGCCGGTAGTTGGTTTCTCTGACCGCGTTTGGGCTGTTTATCACAAGCACTTAGCTTCGCACCCAAGTTCAGTAGGGGAAGCATCATAGCGAGACGCCGACGGCGTATCTCAACTGGGAAGGTAGTCAGCACCAAACTAACGGACGTTTCCTGCTGACATCTTAGCTTTACTACAAATAATAATAAAAATACTTGTCATTCACACAGCGGCAGCGAGACGGCAACTCTATAGCTTGCGTGAATGCGTCGTCTGCCCCCCCCCCCCCCGCCCGCCCTTTCTTATCCGTCAACAATGCGGTAGTAGGGAAATTCTCGTCCTCGATTATGTAAACGTACACAAAACATAACACTAATCACATTACAAGTAGAAAATTCGTTTAGCTACGATACGTATGTATTAATCTTGTCGCTTAGATCCTGGTGTACGTATACGACATTGTTTTCCCAGTCTGAAAAAGAATACGTTTGGAAACGAATGGAAAAGTACGTTTGTGCTTAAAGAAATCGTAACGTGTTGTTAATTGCTCTGTTTGAATAACCAGGCATTATGCATAAAGTTTTCTTCTAGTCCACACGTAGTACTGACCGGTGGAATCTGCGCTGCTTTTCCACAGATTTACGTTAGAGGAGCTCGCGCACAGGGAGCACATATGTCAGACACAGATGTTTTCGTTAACGATTCGTTATACGTGTCACGAACAGCGAACCAGTAAGTGCATCAATTTTACTCTCTGTTGAATCACTGTTGTTGGCTGGTTTCGCCGGGCCTTGCCGTTACGTGACATATACTTGCATAAGTTTTATATGGGCACTACTAGCAGACACATTTAGACAATGTCTACAGCAGATGAACCCTTTTCTAGTACTTCATCTAGGGAAAAATGGCTTTGTCGCATTTTTTTCGAGTGCTTACGAATTAGTAGATTTCATGGCGACCTTCCAGCTCAAGCGCCGTTATATGACGCGTTCCGACACCGCACACATAGAACAAGAACAAAAAAACCGGCTGGTTTTTGTACGCTGTGTATCTGTGAAACGTTCGACGGATTTGCTCGTTTCGAACCATCGGAACAATACAAGCTATTAGTTCCAGTTGCTAGAGGCCTCTATTCGCATAGATTGTTTTCTTAGCTAAATACTAAGTCAATATTGCACACATTGTCCTCATCTTTATGCGGCGCTTTTTACAATTGGCTTCTTTGATTCTCCGAGTCGTACGGAGAGTGCTCGACTTCGCTTAACGCATATATGCGTGCATATAGGACAACCATAGCCACGAAAAAACTTCCATGACGTGGTCGGCAGCGCTGCTTTTCTATAGATTAGTGCAGCGTGTCGCATTGCACTTCTCCGACTAATGTTTCCGAGCGCAAACGAGTCAACGTCAATGCCCCCACACAGTCAAAATTTAGAAGGTTCGACGTGTCGATATGTGAAGAACACAAACACATACCGACTCGCCAACAACCAGGCCCTATGGAACACTTCACCACGTCGCTACGTTGTGCTCTAGTGTACCTATTACAGTGCGGGGAAGCAGGACGATAGTCAGTCGGGCAGGGAAATCTTCGGGCGTAGAAAGGACACTAGCGAAACCTACGCTGGTCTGGCCTTTTCAATCTAGCTCTAGCAGTGATGGGGGCAACAGAAACTGGCTACTATGTGACTAGCTGTGAAGTATATGGCAGAACAACTGTGAGCATTGCGTCCTGTGGGTGTATAACATGTACTTTATGTGTAATAGTGCGAGCAGCGGGCACTGCAATCGCCGCTGCTGCAGGCGTGACCTCCATCACTAACACAGACCTTCACTCCATTAGATTTAATGCGGTATTTCACCCGGAAACTGCTGCGGTCGCCTTGTTGTTATGGCAAACCCGGTGTCAAGAATCAGACAGCCTTGTTGGAAACGCCGCACAATTAAAGCCACAGCCATCATCACTACAAAGGTTGATCTCGCTACCGCCGCAGTGTAGGATAAGAGTAAAGAATGTAATGAGCAAGGAGACCAATACGGCGGGGCAGAACGAGACACACGATGTTCTCGCAGGGATGACGAATTCGCTCAAACGTAGAAAAACAGTAGCGTATCAAGGACATGATGCACTGCGGGCTAGTGAAGGATTGCTATGGCCGGCGGCGGTAGTAGGATCTGCAACCACACCCCTTTTGTGCACGCTGGATTGAACTACGACTATAATAATAACAACATAGTTGGTGCATGTGAGGGACGCCATATACTAGACCATATGTAGATGTGTACCACCGTAGACGTCTTGTAGTAAATGATGTATTTAGGCATGAAATAACAATAGTAGTACAATTTTGTTTGCACAACCGCTTCGTCGGCGATCTCTATGGAAGGTTATTTACAGTGGGTGCGAGAGCGAAGGAATAAAGTTGAACGATGTTGAATGGAAGTTTGTTATGACAACGCTGTTTCTTCCTCAGAATAAACTTCCACAATGTTATGACTTTACTTGAAAGAGATCAAAACTTACGCTGAAAACCTTTGATTAAAGAACTTGATTCTGCCTCAGGATGTAGGTGAGAACGGTATCCGCTATGTCTACAAATACTGCTGGAATAGTAACGCTTTCAAATCCAATTATAGTGTGTGTATATGTTTAGTAGAAAAACACTCCCTTCAGACGAAATAGGAGTTTACAAAATAATATGCAGTATATATATGGGACGACTAAAGGAAATCCCTTTCTTCCTCTTCGATTTTCAATAAAACTGCTCAGATCGTAATAAGCAAATATGGCAAGGAAAAGAGAAACATATTCCTGTAAAATAAATACGCCAGTACTTAACTATGAAATAGCCGAAACAAGTACTGACCTCCTTTGATCTGTACGAGACGACTCTTGATGAGGCCTACGTGATTGTAGGCAACACAACGATAAGCTGTGGCGTGCACGTCGGGCCGGAACTGTGTCACTTTAAACTGGTGAAAGAGCAGCGAGCCGTCTGGCCGGATGTCCCGCACTCCGGCAATGGGCCCTGCTGGAGTACCATCGCGTTTCTCCCATCGTACTTGAGGGCTAGGTTGACCCTGAGCGCTACAAGGCACGACGGCCCCCGTATCGGAGGAAAACTCCATTGAGGATGGTGGCTCTAGTACAAACGTCGGCCCCCTTTCCACTGGATACATCGACCAGGCCACGTTCACTGCAACGGAGAACACAGGAGAAAAAAACATGGAAAACATAGAAGAAAAGACAATGTTACACGCTGTATAGGCATTCAACATTATCTTAGCACATGAAAGACATGACTAGGCAGTAGTAATCGAATAACTTTTCATTCATACAGGCCCTTATCGTAAGCACATATACAAAAAAGTGTGAGTCAGCTTTCAAAAGAAGGTCCATTCTGTTAAAAACAGGTTAATAATTGAAGCACATGCTGATGTAACTATAAACCTAGTTTTTTTTTCTGATTGTGAACCCATTTCAAGTCTAACTCGTGTTAGATATATCCAATAACTTCCCTGCTGTTTTTTTCTGTCCGCGCGTTTAACTTCACGTAGACTTGACTGCACAGGTCTGTGTTTACTTACACAGAACATAATGGCAGGCTGATTTAGTTGGACTGAAGTGTCGACATATTTTCTTTATTACGGGCAGCTGGCAGTGATGTCGCCACGTCGCACCCAACATCGTTTTCTCGATTGGAGTTGTTGTTTTGGCATCGTACCTGCCTACCACTGAAATGTTTCCTTTCGCGGTTACTTTGCCACTCTCTCTAACCCGTTTTTCGCTGAAGAAGCATTCTTGGGTTTCTACGTAGGGCTTGCATTGGATGACGGAATCTAGGGCTCGCATTTCTCCAGTCGTGCGCCTCGTGTTCCCTCGAATGCTGCTTTCTCTTTTTGCCTATCTTTTGCTATGAGTCGTCCTCTCCTACATCCCCTTCTTAACCGCATCGCCATGACGGCCGCTGTTGGTCCTGTTTTTCCGTCCTGTAGCACGTTTCTCCATGTGTCTACTTCGTGCCAATATACAGAGAATCGGTTCTTTGACCCCTTTTCGTCGGCTTGGTTTTCCTTTGCTTGCTCTCTTGTTCGATGCGTCTTGTATATCCCTTGAGACATCTCGTCGCTTTTGCTGTTACCGCTATTGTCGCTGCTGCTTTTTGGATAAGATGCTACCAAAGCCTCTAGTTTGGTCTCTGTTGTTTGTTATTTATTTATCCTTTCCCGCATCATCTCAGAGACACTAATATCTTTCGTTCTGTACAGTCATCCTCGCCGCCTCTACTTCGGCGACCACCATACACGCATATGCGAACAAAATGACTGTGTCCGTCTTCGCTTTTTCCCACGCTGACCCATCGATAGCAGTGGACCTGCACAAGGACTAATGCGGCCTGTTCCTCTTCCTGCTGTAGTCGCGTAAGTACGGATTGCAGACAAGCTTACCTTGAGTCAGATTCTTCGACTGGCCCAAATCGTACTACTGCAGCGACTATCGATTGCGAGCAACGATGCTCACTAACCACAGCAGCTTCAATGTTATGACAGTATCACAACTTGTATCTCATCGCATTTCGACTTCCTTTCGATCCTGCAGACCCGAGTAGAAAGAGGGTCAACTGCTAACGCCAGTGATCATAGTCTTCTTGCTCACATCAAGCATTCCACTGTTTGTACTTTGACAGGTTGTAGCTTCTCTACTGAGTAGACCGGTATCATTCCCTTACATAGAGTACTGCAGTGAGAACGGAAGGAGTGAGCAGTGGTAAAGGGTGGACCAAGGACATACAAAGAGACAAGCGAAGACGTTCCAAGACGAAGGCCACAGATGGAGAGATATAATCTACTTTTTTCGAGCTTCTTTCGACTGAGCCGAAACGCTGTTCAGGGAACGTGGCTACTAGATGGGTAGAGAAGAAGCTAATGATGCATGTTAACCTGCCTTGCAGGCCTCCAGGACCTGCCGCAGCTGGTTGCATTGGGAGACGCATAGTAGATGGATCATCGTTATATATCGAGAAATATACAGATATAATGCCATACAAGTGGATGGAAGGTCGGTGAGAGCAGATCGGTTTTTTGTGCATGTTCACAACGTGCAGTAAATCCGAGCCATGTGGGCCCTGGTAATTGCCGTTGCTCATGAGTATGTGAACGGGATATAAAGCGGGATGCGCACTTAGTACTTATGTCCTCTGAAGGATCGTAGCCATTATCGTAGACATGAATTAGCTGCCTTTGAGTGTTAGTTAAAATAAACTCTTAAGCTGAAATGTACTATGCGTGGACAGGAGAAAATTAAAAACATACGTTGCTAAATTGCTACATCAAACTAGCAGAAGCATCGAAGACGGATTGATCGTGAAGTGATATATATCAATCACAAAACACAGTGTTACAAGAAAACGCGTTTGTTGCTTTATAGTCTATTTTTGATTTTTAAATGTAGACCAGAAAATTGTCAGGTTTATTATGTGGTCTCTTTGAATAACAATGATAGCGTCGATAAATGGTAGAACGTATTGTTTTTAGGACAGGTTGCTTTGAACCTCTTTTTAAGGTTAAGCCAACCCTTCATATGTTCAGTTTGTCTTGTCAGGGGGACATTGTTTCCCCTGGGACTTGCTGCTGGGCTTCTCTGCTTGAACGAAGGTGTTAAGTCAATTCGTCACTCTCTTGTGCAGGACGGCGTTAGAAAAGCCACAGGCTCAGCACAAGCGTTAGGCACATGCAAACTGAAAAAAAAAATAATGTAACACAAGATCTAAAAAATAAATGGGAAAACAAGGAAACCCAAATACGTTGTGTTGAAAAAAGTAGACAGGCTGAGCGAACCTAGCTAAAGGGCCAAATTTACTGCTAAACAAACACATATCTAAAGAGTTCAGTTTTATCCACATGCATTGAAATATTTATTTTATCTTAGTTTTACAAATGTCAATGAGGAAGCGCGACATTCGACTGAATGGGGCACATTTTGATCGATCTAAAATCGAGAAATGCTAGTTTAGACAAAAGCATTATAAAATGCGTAACTGTCAGGTCGTTGACATGTCGGGCCGTGACCGCAAGGATGACGATTTTCTTCTATAATGTTTGCTAAAACTAATACATGCGTGAATCATACTCCTGATTCGTGGTAAGTTTATCGACAGTGCAGGCACCAAGTGTTCATCAGCGGTTCGCCGTCATCAGTGTTCTATGACACATTTGCATGGATAATACCATTCGGGGTCTCCACGCGCCGATTCGTCGCCAACAGACTTTTCTGTTGAACTTCAGTGCACATTCCTTTTGCCTAAACACTTATGTTCTCGTCCCGACATGGCTTTTACATGTTGTTCATTTTCTCAAAGTCGCTGGATGGTTGGGGCGTTTGGGGCACTCTACGATCTCTCTCGTTTGTTGCCTCCTTGTTCTCTTCTACAGAATCTTTATATATAACAGATGGTGGATGCTACGAAACAGAAAGAGAAATAGGAAAAGGGATTCACGTAAAGAACTTAAATTATATTGAGAAGCAACGAGCGTGAACTGAACGCAACACGCTCCACGTTGACTGTATGCGAGAGGACTAGTCGACGTTGCTACACGAATCGGAGCGAAAAGGAAACGAGACAAGATAGACGGACTCCTCCAACAGGAACAAGGGTAGCGACGGTTCATCTTGAAGAACCGACCTACAGAACAGAACAAACCGACGCGTTTTACCAAGCCATGCCAACACGCGTTCCATCTCAAATACTACAACACAACAGGAAGTAATTCATGAATCGGACCGGCTTCCTATTCAGGCACAGTCCATGTGCCTCTGCGTCGATGCGCTTTTCCTCCATCCTTCTCACATGTTCTGGCATTCCCTAACAAACTTCAGTCCACACAGCTACAGTTCATCCCTGTATCTGTCGCTGCCTTTTGCAAATGCTTTCTTGCCCCTCTCCCTCTCCCTCGTCTTCCACTCCCGTCAACCTTCGAAGTTCAACCCCGACCTGGCTCGAATCCGTGGTTTATGGCCGTGCACATTTCTTTTGAAAGCTAACGAACGAGCGACTGACGGACGCCGCATAGAGAACGCAATCTAGCAAGGACGAGTCTTAGGAATGATCACTCGAGTCTTCATATGCTCCAACCATCCCCGCTTTACCAGTGCCAATTTACACTGCAAGTAATGGTCAGTTAATGTTCTTTGCATGTAGGAACGAAGTCTGTTAGTTATTCTGAGAAACTCTTGCCATCCCTTTACAATCGCCAGGTTACAGCTTAAAGGAGACGGCAGATTTTCACAGTATACAGCTGCAAGCAGCGACGATTTAGCAGAAGGAAAATTTGGAATTGGTTCGGGGGTAACCATAGTATTGGCAGTGGTGGTCGTCGCAAACGGCACGAAGAATACACAAAAGAATAGGCGTGCAGGACTCAGCTACGATCCTCGTAAACACGAAAAGGTCAGGCTCGCAAAACTATCTACCGGTGACAGGGAGCTCGTGGTTGTCCCGAACGTCGCAGGACTGCCGTGTAGTTGTGTAGCAACGCCAGGCTCCAGGTCGTCGTCCACCATTGTGTACGAGACTTACAGAGACAAATGATCATCCCTAGCCGTCAGTTTGTGCTACACGGGTTATCTCTGTCGCTCCCCCACACATCCGGAACACAATGGGCCGTAACAGGAGACACTGACGGGACGAGGCTACGTGAGGGGGTTGACAGTGACGTGGCGCCGTCACAGTAGCGTGAGACGTCACTAACACGGTCGTAGCATACAAGCAACCTCGTACGCTGTAGCTCTACGGCATCCACGCCAGTGAATCCTATTATGAAGAAAAATCGTACTCTAATTCACCCATTCGTAAATTTTTAGCAAGGTTTGCATATTACTGCTTCTTTCACTATAACAGTGACTACTGCCACCACGACTATGTTTTTTCAAGTCTTCCGTTCGTCCGTCGTTTCCAAGACGTCTCCTCGCCTCAAGATTGTATCCGTTTCGTGGTTATCTTGGGCTATTCGCTGGTACAACAGAATATAATGCGTAATCCGATTATGCAATGGTGCCGAGTCGGACCGCATAAGACTGAACAGCCACTGGAGCATTTCACCCCCTGCATCTTTTACACTCTTCACAGATTTGCGTTTCAACGTGACCTCAGTACAGAGATAGTAAAGCATAATTTTATGATTACTAATTATAAACCGT